AAAAAAAAAAAAAAAAAAAAAAAAAAGATATGGGGCACCAAGTTCGATTGCAGGAGAGGGAGGGATTCAGAAATAATAGAGGTACTACCGATTAATATCAAGATCATGACAAGGCAGTCCTTGGGGGCATCCGTTAAGATGGGAACGATACAGAGAAGATCAGTATGGCGCCTGTGCAAGGATGGCACATGAAAAAAAGAGAAAAAAATAATGGTCAAAAGAAAAAGAATCAAAATCTTGACAAGCCAGTCGTGGACAGTATTGTGGGTGCATCTTGCGAATTCAAGACGTCAACTTTGGCAGAACTGCAATGCCACAGCAACGACAGCAGCTAGTAACTGAATCTGCACATATAGCGCCTCCACAGGTGAGGTTACAGGATGGCGCTCCCTATGATCCCAGTATGATGGGGAGCCCGACGAAAAAGTGGAACCATAGCAGTCATGGCTGTAGTGGTTAAGATACCTGGTTCTTGAGGCCGAGGTCGCCGGTTCGAATCTGTGCTTGCACGGGGAGGACGTTGGGCTCATGCTGGGATGGGTAGCGCCATCATGTAACCTCTGCTGTGGGGGAGCTAGATGTGCAGATTCACTTAGCTGCTGTGGAAGTACCCGTTATCCACCGGGCTCGCCCGTGTGGATGGACGGCAGGAAGTAGAGCGAGGTGTGTGCGAGAATTGCTGTGGCCGTGTGGTGTTGTCTGTGGTGTACGTACAGCCTTGCAGGGGTGGGGTGCATATCATGTCCGGTATGGTTCCTCTTTTGAACACGGTGTCCTGGCTGTAGTGGTTAAGATACCTGGCTCTTGAGGCCAAGGTCGCTGGTTCGAATCTGTGCTTGCATGGTGGAGGATGTTGGGCTCATGTCCGCGCTCTCGTCGATTGTGGAGAGGCCGTGCCCTCTGCCATCGATTTGTGGCCGCCGCCCTTCAGTTCCTGGATGGGCTGGTTTCCCTCCCTGCCTGCTATGGCGGCTCTGTTGACCTTCTCAATATAGAGGGAGGTCGATCCCGTGACTGCAGATTTGCCTGTGATTCGTGCCTGGTAGTTGGTGGTGAATGCTTGTGTGGTGTAGACATCGGAAAGCATGCTATGCGAAGAAAAAGGGGCAAACAAGGAAACCGCGCATGAAAGGCAAGCAAAGACTTAGAATTGGCTATGTTTAAAGGCTATGTGCATTGAAAAAAAAAAAAAAAAAAAAAAAAAAAAAAAAGGCTATGTGCATTGACTCTCTCTAAAGACCATGTTTTGTAAAGAGTTGATATTGGGATAGTCCTTTCTTGTTATTGAAACGCTATTGGTGTAAAGATACGTTATGCACATGTTCTTTAAAGACTATGTAAAAAAATGTGCACATGTTCTGAGTTTTAACTGTGCAAAAACTATGCACATGTTTTTTTTTTTTTTTTTTTTTTTTAATTGAGAAAAGCAGCCCGAGTTAATGCTAGGGGTGATGGTAAAAGCAGGCACCACTAGCACCCTCTGGGAGGCTCCATGTTCTATCAAGACTATGTAAAAACTGTGGAGGCTCCATGTTCTATAAAGACTATGTAAAAACTGTGCAGGCTGGAGGCTCCATGTTCTATAAAGACTATGTAATGTAAAAACTGTGCTCATGTGCTATAAAGGCTATGTAAAAATGATGTTACGTAATAGCCTATGTAAAAACTATGCACATGTTCTAAGTTCTAACTATGTGAAAACTATGCACATGTTCTAAGTTCTTGCTATGTAAAAACTATGAAGATGTTCTATAAAGACTATCTAAAAACTCTGCACATCTTCTATAAAGGCTAGTATGTAAAAATGATGTTATGTAATAGCATTGGCATAGTGTCTACCTGCTAGTGTGGTGTTAAGCATGTTATGTAAAGGCTACATTATATGATGTAATGGAAAGACTCAGCATTGGCTATCTCTAAAGACTATCTTATTGAAAGACTTCAGCATTGGCTATCTCTAAAGACTATCTTATTGAAAGACTTCAGCATTGGCTATCTCTAAAGACTATCTTATTATCTCTAAAGACTATCTGATTATCTCTAAGGACTATCTTATTATCTCTAAAGACTATCTTATTTAAAGACTTCAGCATTTGCATAGTATGTTATGTTCATGTTATTTAAAGACTATGTAACTATGCCAATGCTATGTAAGGACTATGCCATGCATTTAATTTAGTATTGGAACAATCTTCAAATGTGCGTACAACCAACCACATGGGTTGGGTGGTGCTACTTTTTATCCAGCTATTTCATCTCTCAAATGGTTAGCCCCCAGCTCGACGGCCTTTCTGGAAAGTTACGTTACCTGCAAAGAATGTAAACTGCCAAAAACTGGTATTGCCCTATAATGTTCTAAGTGGAAGTGTAACTAAACTACGTCCTTGCTTGTGCCTCCTTGATGGTGTGTTTTGCATCTTTCTCTCTCTCTCTGTCTCTCTCTCTCCCTCCCTTCCCAAAGGCATTCCCCTCCCGTTGCATCCTTGGTCTCTCTGTGTTGTGTCTTTGTCTCTAGTACCCGTCTCACTGCCTCTCTCTCTCTCTCTCTCTCTCTCTCTCTCTCTCTCTCTCTCNCTCTCTCTCTCTCTCTTTTCTTTCTTATATGCGGTGTTGAGTGGCAACCGGTCTCACTGTTGGTGATGCCTATAGGTCATTTCAAGGGAGATCCAGAGAAGGTATGATTTTTTTGTTCCCATATGAATCTGTTTGTGAGCAGGGTTGTCACAGTTCACAGGAAAAGTAAACCAACAGGAATGGAAAAACAGAAAAGAGCTACCCTATGAGAATGAAAACCGGAATGTAGTAAAGCACCAAACTTTCCCTCGCGATCAGTCTTTATCCAACTAAGTCGGACCCAGCCCAGAGGTGGGGATGAGACGAAACCACGAAGGAGGGCCATCTGAGGCGGGGCAAGAGGTACAGGCCTTTTTGGTTTTCACAACCGAAAAAAAAAACAAAAAAAAAAACTGCAAAGCCCAAACGCAGCACCCACCAACTGGTCCATCTCAGTCGGTACTGTTGAAATACAAACCCAAGTTCGAACTCCACTGGAAGCAGATGAGTCAAATACCACAATTATTCTGAATTACCTGGGGCCGACACCCCAGAATCGTAGAAATACAAACCTGAGTTCGAAATCCACTGTAAGCAGATGAGTCAAACACCACAATTCTGAAGTTACTGTACCTGGGGGCGGTCAGTTCGACGATCGTACCTCAAGCTCGTCAGACCCCCAAAAATAGGCGGTGTATCTTTCCATGTTCTACTGAAGGATTCTTGGTCATGGAGCAACGGTTTGGTTAGTGGACATGCCAGGCCGTTGGTCTGCGACCAAGAATCCTCCAGTAGAACATGGAAAGGTACACCGCTTGTTATTTTTTGTCTTTTGTGCATGTGCAGGGTCGTGGAGCTAATCCCGAGATACAGCCAAATTATTTTGTCTTTTGTGCATGTGGATAGTCGTGGAGTCAGGAAGAATTTGGCGTGTGCGCGCAAAGCGCGAAGCGTGCTTGCGTAGTCAACAAAAATTCTAACATGGCCGCGCGCGCGCATATTGATCCAAAGAAAATTGGAAACACCGTCAACTTAATTCATAACCGTTTTCTTGAAATTCCCGCGCCGTTGCTAGTCGGCCGCGCGAGACTAATTCGGACACGAAGAAGGGCAAACCCAAAACATAAATGCAGATGACCTTCAAAATTTCAAAACGGACCCCTTTCTTTGTAATTAGTCGAGATCCGTACGTCGGGGTTTACTTTGGGGTTTATTTCGAAGGGTACGTAAGGCCGTGAGGTACGGAGCTTGGCTTATCACAGACCTGCTGGTAGCGTTGGGGAGCAGAAGTGTGGGCAGCTTTTGCTGTCAGAATTTGTTTTTCCATCCAGTTTTTTGTTTCCCTCTTTTTTAATATCGTTTCTGAAAAAATAATTGCTCAATCTGTGCCCCTTATGTTTCTTTTTCAGAAGTTTTCACCAACAGCAATTCTGATAGGAAAAAATCACCAACGTCAAGCAGTCAAAGTTTTGTGCACTGCTGCCGACCCCAACCCCCCCCTGTCCCCCCCTGTCCTGGCCGGTAGGCCGACCTGTCCTATGGACGGCGCATATACTGTCATGACTATTGGATTGAAGGTGCGTGACTGGTGGTCTAATGTATTTTTTGACTCTTTTTTAATCAGCTGAGAAGGCACCCAATCACGACAGGCAGTTCGGTCCTTTCCTTTTTGAGGCAGCGGAGCGGAGGGGGGAGTTCTAATAAGTTTTGAATGGGCTCTACGGATGACTTTTGGGTTGTTTCCCTCGTTGGTCGGTGTTTATCTCCTGCGCATTGGTAATCTAGCTGTCTTTATCTTTGTCGGCAAGGGTGGATGCCTGCAATCAGACTCGCCTTCTTCTTCGTTCAGCATGCATGCAAACAGATGGCAATCCAAACTGGCGCCAGGCGCCCCCACAAACCTCAGATATGTTCAAGTCGAGAACACAGTTTGGATACAAACTCGCTTCAGATTAGCTATGGTGCCCGAGCGCCTAAAGAGCTCCCTTCCTACACTATATTCACATCAACTGTTCACACGCACACCACACTGGATCCCTGGGTATCCCACACACACACACAACTCACTCGCTCACACGCTGTAGACTAACTCTAGGCTATGGCGGCTATGACCGTCGTCTAACACTGGCTACTAGCAGCGATGGCTGCTCTATCTCCCTTGTAGCCCACTTCAACTTCGGGCATCTGCAGACCACCTCGCACAAGACGCCTGGGCAGCGCTTCCGCATGGCTCACGCAGAAATTAATGAATGGCTGGACAGTGCCTCCTGATTTATACTTCTGTTGGTCGCTGGTCTGCCCCTTTTCCACCGGCCCATGGTGCACACAGTCCCACGTGGTACTTGCTGACTAGACAAAGCGAGACTGGGACTGGGTACCGCTGACTAAGCAAGGTTGGACTACCCACCTGCCCACTTGCCTCTGTCCTAACGTGAGCAACACTCGAAAGCACACTTCCGGACCTTCTGGAAGTCTGTGGACTTGGCCTTTCAGAGCTGTAGCAGCTACGACCTTGACCTTTCCGGACTGTAGCAGCTACGACTTTGACCTTTCAGAGTTGCAACAGCTATGACCTCTACACAGCTATGACCCCTACTCGACAGACCTATGGTTCAAGACCCGACACCTACACAGACCTATGACAGACAACAGTCAGCTATCAAAACACAGGTCATGGGTTCAAAACACACAAGGGTCGACTTGATACTGTACACGGGTGAGGTAAGGTCTAGGGATCGAGCCCTGGGATCTGCATCTGTTACTGCAAAGGTGAAAACCGTTTCACTCTCGCTGGCCTAAATTCGAGGTCCTCTGAGCATACTTCAGTCCGAGGCAGGACCTTTACCTTTCTTATCTCTCTCATAGGCTCAAACTACATCGGGAGCGGTCTCTAGAAGTTATGTCCGTGTGAACACGCGGTCGTCCTCTGGTTCTTGAAAAGAGAATCTGACTTTATACTGTTTATGTGGACGACCTCTACCTCCTGTTCTGAACACATCTTCACCTACCATGCGGTCAATGTCGTACCTTCCATCCATGTCCGGAGGGATCATGGATCTTCGTGATGGAAACTGTTGACATGTGGTACAGGGCAACAACTTTGACGCATGAAAAATTGGGTAGGTGTGGAGGTGTGCTGGAATCTCGACTGTGTAGGACGGTCCATCCTCTCCGCCCTTGACTTCTAAGACTGGCCACGGTCCTCGGTATGCAGGCAATAACTTCTGCGAGATGTTTTCCTCAGGAGCAAACCCCTTTGACTTGACCCAGACCTAGTCGCCTACTTGGAACTGTGACGCACGACGGTGCTTGTTGGTTTGTTCTATCATCTTCCTGAGGTTTTCTGTTACGGTAGCAATCTCTCTCTCATGCTGTAGTGCGAACTCCCTAGTATCGGGCGGTAGCCTCTGAATCTGATCCCGTCCAGTCCTTCAAACGGTCTACGTAGTCTAAATGACTTATGCAATTCATTGGGAGTGCGACAGGTTGCTGAGTGCACACTATTATTGTATGTGCTGGCTACCTTGGGAAGCATCTCATCCCAATTAACTTGATTGGGTCTAATATACATTTTGAGAACTTGCTGCAGGATTTTGTTCATTGTGTTCAGTCTGACTGTTAGTCTCAAGATGGCGGCCAGATGACATCAACAACTTAGAGCCATAGACTCTCACCAGTTCCTGCCGGTTCTGAATAGTGAACCTGGTATCTCTGTCACTAACTATCGACAACGGTAGACCATGCTCACTGACCCAGTGATCAAAGAGCTTATCTATAACTAAGTCTATACGTGCCTCCATGGGCAAAGGAACAAAATCTCCATACTTACTAAATCTATCAACTATAACCATGACTTGGCTCTTTCCATGCCTACTCCTGACCCCAGTATGCATGAAGTCAATGGAGACATAATCTCCGGGTCCCGCGGGAATAGGCAATGGTCTGAGAAGACCAAGAGGGGCTCGCGTAGTGGTCTTATTCCCTTGGCACACCTTGCAACTGCATACATACTCTATGAAGTCGGCTTACCGACCATGTATACGTGCGAGTAAGGTTGGCTAACGTCTTTTGCCAACCAAAATGTCCCTCTGTGTCGTGATCAGCTCTATGGATCTCTTCGCTGTTGGGAACGCATAAACGATCAGCTACACTAGTCTTCTCGAATAGCAACCCATCTGTAGTGCGATAGTCTTGCTCAGACTCTGAAGACTCCTTAACTCTCTTGAGGAGATCACTATAAATAGGGTCCTGCGCATAGGCTTCCTTAACTTTCTGTTGCGGGTCTTGCCCTATATCCAGATAGTGAACTATCGCTCCAAAGTAATCAGCTCTCCTACTTGTAGCATCCACGACTACATTATCCTTCCCTTTAATTGACTTGAGCTCGAAGTCAAACTGGTTTATCTCTGCGGCCCACCTAGTAAGCTTAGGTGTCATCTTGGCCTGCGTCTTTAACCACCTCAGCGTTTTGTGGTCTGAATAGACTTTGAAGTGCCTCCCAAGCAAGTAGTGTTTCCAGTGATCTAATGCTTGCCTGAGAGCGTAGAGTTCCCTCTCGTAGGTAGATGTCGCTACCTTTTTTGAAGGCATCCTAGCAGACATGAACTCTATGGGCCTATACCCATTGCCATCATCTTGCTGTAAAACAACACCTATACCATACTGACTTGCGTCAGTGGTGACAACAAAAGGCAAGGATGGATCGGCTACCTTGAGGACTTGATACTCTATCAAGGCCCACTTTAGCTTCTTTAGGGCTGACGTACAATCCTTATCCCACTCCCAGATTGCTTCTTTCTTTAACAACATGCGAAAGGGTGCAGCGATGGTAGAGAAGTTCCATACAAACTTCCTGTAGTCATTCGCTAGGCCTAGGAACGACCGCAACTCTGTCAATGTGCATGGTGTTGGCCAATCTCTCATCGCTGCCATCTTACTGTCCCCAGGTTTTATGTCATCTCCCTCTAAGACTTGGCCCAAGTACAAAACTTGTGTTTTGGCCCACTTGCACTTCTTCGCGTTGATCTTAAAGTTAGCTTCCCTCAACTTCTCCAAGACCTGCCTCAGATGACCCTCATGCTCTTGGAGGGTCTTGCTAAACACTAGAATATCATCTAAGTAC